TTGATCATGATTTGAGTAAATTTCACTTGACGAGTAAAATGATCTGCCAACGGAACGAGACTTTTTGTACTTAAAATATAAAACTACATCTGGCTGCATTTAAAATAAGAAAAACAACAACTCTGTGCACTTGTCGCTTGAATGAAGAAAAACACATTTGTTCCATTGTTAAATCATTTCACTCGTCAAGTTGAATCGACTCAAATAAAGTCAAATGTTCTGAATTTAAATCATTTTAATTTATCTCGATATTGTTTTTTCCAGTGTGTCGAGACAAAGAATAAAAAACTTTACACATTTACTAAATTTGCTACAACAAATGTTTCTGATCTGGACCAGATTTTAAAACTTCTATCAGCTTCTTCATCTTATTTTCAGATTTATGATCGACTTACTCGCTCTGAATTGGTTGTAGAATCTTAAAAATGAACACATATTTTTCTTCCGTGACTCAACTCGTCTGAAAATCTTAAATTTTGGCGATAAATGTTTAAAAAAAGAAGTGACATTCACCAGGAGCAGCAACTTTGAATTTATTATCAGGCCATTTTTACTCATCACAAACTGGTTTTAAGAATATTTATCTAGAATTTAGCAGATTTGAAAACATTTTATCTAGAATTTGGCATCAGAGAACTTATTATCAGACCATGAACATGAATCATAAACTGGTTTTAAGTCTTTTTATCGAACACTGAGCATCTATAAATTTATTTCCAGCCCATGAACACTGACCACACTTTATTCTTGTCTAGAGTTTTGATTATTTTATTTTATATATTTTGTGTCGTTCGTTCCGTTTTTCAATATAAAACCAAAAATAAGAAAACGAAAAAACCTGCTGTTTTCTTCATTATTTGTCTCCAAAACCAAAATGAAAAAACAGATAATGATTCGTTTTTTTCAATTTTTTATTTTGTGTTTAAATTAAATTTACGTGACGTCCGTGACTGCGAGGCCGAACTTTTGCACCACATACGGACTGAACCAGGACTGATCCAGGTCCGGGACTGACGGGACCAGAGCGGGACCAGAGCGGGACCAGAGCGGGACCAGAGCAGACTCCGAGCTTTGACTCCGAGCTTTGACTCCGAGCTTTGACTCTGAGCCTCCGCAGGGTCCGAGCCTCAGCTTTGAGTTCTGGTCCTGCTGTGGGCTCTAATGAACCGTGACTGATGGACCAGACCGGAGACCGTGGCCTCCAGTCTGGTCCCCGTCTAGTCCCGGTCTGATCTCGGTCTCAGTCCCGGTCCCTCTGGTCTTCTCAGTCCCAGTCTCAGTCCCGGTCCGGTCTCGGTCTCAGTCCTGCTCTGATCCTGCTCTGGTCCCGGTTTGGTCCTGGACCTGGATCAGTCCTGGTTCAGTTCGGCATCACAGTCACTGAAGTCACGTAAACGGGAAACGGCCGTTATCTGTTTTTTGTTTTTTTCCATTTTTCATTTAAACACAAAATCGAAAACTGAAAAAATGAATCTTTATCAGTTTTTCCATTTTGGTTTTGGAGACAAATAATGAAGAAAACTGTTGTTTTTTTCATTTTCTTATTTTTGGTTTAATATTGAAAAACGAATGAACGAACGACACACAGATTCTTCTTTATTCTTATTAATGATAATTCCTTTTTTTCCCTCCTTTTCTTCTCTTCCTCTCCTTTCATTACCCCTTTGTTCCTGTTTCTCTGTCTACATCTCCAAACAAAACTCAAAACGCTCTGTTCCACCTTGTGATGTCATGAAGTGGTAGTTTTCAAGTTCATAAACACATTTTCTCTCTTGTTCAGTTGAGATTGGAGCAATTAGAGCTGAAATTAAATGCTTCTAGTGAAGGTGTGTGGAGTTTAAAAACACAGTGGAGCTTTTCCCGCATCACCACACGATGACATCACGAGGTGGAAAACAGGACTCCGGGTCTGTTTTTGCAGCTCGGAGTCGGAGTCTGGTGTTTTTGCCAGAGTTTCTGGTGTAACCTCATTCTTCACGTCTGCCGTAGTTGTTTTGGTCGTGTGCGTCGAGCAGAGGCCCCGGGGCCCGGAGCCCGGAGCCCTGATGAGTTTAGCAGAAGAGCGCGGAGCCGGAGCAGCGTCGCCCCCCGCAGGCCACGGGGGGGAACTGCGCTCTGAACTCAGCCTAACTCAAACTTTCCACTCATTTATTCAGTGTGGGAAAGTGTCTCTGGACGAGGGGACAGACGAGAGAAAAGAGGAGGAGGAAGAGGAGGAGGAAAGAGGAGGGGAGAAGAGGAGGGGAGAAGAGGAGGAAAGAGGAGGAGGAAAGAGGAGGGGAGAGAAGAGGAGGAAAGAGGAGGAGAGGAGGAAAGAGGAGGAAAGAGGAGGGGAGAGGAGGAGGGAAGAGAAGAGGAGGGGGATGTGGCTGGAGTTTAACCCTTTAACGTCCACACAAAGGACAATTAGACTCGATTTGCAAACTAAAACTAAAAGAAACTAACCAGTGGTGTTTTATGGAAGAGAATTTGTTTCATCAGATTTTGAATTGAATAACAA